GGAGGCGGAGCAGCGGCGACTGCGACTACGCGACCTCCCCGACCCAGCACCTGCACGCTTTGTTCGTGGTCCCCTACCGTCCCCTCCTTTTCCCCCTGTTGAGTCCCTTTCCTCGTCCCAGTGGACTCGTCGTTCTCCCCTCAGTCGTGCTGTGTCCCCAGAGCGTCGTCGGTCCCGTTACCGTGCAGACGGTCCGTTCCACCTTGTTCTTCGCTCTCGTGTTCCACCTCCTCCAGTCCTTCCACAGCCTCCTGAGTCGTCACTCACTGTGCTTCACGACCCGTTGTCCGACTACCTCCGTGCCTCCCGTCCTGTCGTCTCCCGTGTTTTGTCCGCGTTGGTCACTCACCCGACTGCACCCCTGTCGTCTGTCTCAGCACTTGTTACCACCGTCGCTGGCTTTGCCTCTTCCCACCGCCAGGACCACGCCGCTCACTTGGTGAGTGGCCCTGCTCGTTCTCCGTCCTCTGGGGGTGCTCCTGTCTTTCCGTTGGAGGTCCTAGAGGACAGGCAGTTCGAGCTTGGTTTCCTTGCGGCCGCTGTTCCTCATCTCTGCGCCATGCTGCTTGCCCCTGAGGGGGATCCAGACGCCCTTGACATCCCGATCCCTCGCACTCACGCTGAGGCGGTCTCGGGACCTTGGGCCTTGTACTGGATAGCAGCTGAGGAGGCAGAGATGGCATCTTATAGGTCCACAGGCACTTACGTCGACGCAGTCCCACCTCCTGGGACGAACGTCGTCAGTGGCCGATGGCTCTACAAGGTGAAGCGGCCGCCTCGATCACCACCAGTGAAGCGGCCGATGGATCACCGCCTGGATCACGTGGCGAGAGGCTTTAGTCAGCGAGAGGGGGTGGACTTCTTCCACACCTTCGCTCCCACCCCGAAGATGAGTACTCTTCGGGTGTTGCTGCATATTGCAGCCCAACGCGACTACGAGTTGCACTCCTTGGACTTTACCTACAGGCCACTCTCTCTCAGCTCCACCTTCGGACGAGTCCGTAGAGCCGTGTGGTTCGCATCCAGAGCTTGTGGGTTGCCTCATGTACCTGATGACGTGCACACGACCTGACCTCGCGTACCCTCTTAGCCTCCTAGCTCGCTACGTGGCTCCCGGTAGACACCGAAAGGTGCACTGGGAAGCTGCTAAGAGGGTACTGCGTTACTTGTGGAGTATATTGGGCATGGGGCTTGTGCTTGGAGGACAAGACTCTGTAGTACTCACAGGTCACTCAGACGCTTCCTGGGCCGACGACCAGGCGACTCAGCGGTCGTCACAGGGTTACACCTTCAATCTTGGCTCTAGTTCTGTCTCGTGGAGGTCCACTCGTTCGTCTTCTGTGCTTGGTTCCAGCTGTGAGGCCGAGATCTACGCTGGGGCTATGGCTACACAAGAGCTACGCTGGCTGACCTACCTGCTGACCGATTTGGGGGAGCGACCTCGTTCTCCTCCAGTTCTGTACATAGACAACAAGGTCATGCTTGCCTTGTGTCACGAGCAGAGACTGGAGCACAGAACGAAGCACATTGCTCTACGCTAGTTTCTTGCCCGAGAGCTGCAACACCGTGGTCAGCTGCGCCTTGCTTACGTGGCCTTTCGGGCCAACACTGCTGATGTCTTCACCAAGGCCCTCGGGTCTGGTGATCATCAGCGTTTTTTCACTTCTCTTGGGCGTCTGCCCACTCTGCCTCACCTGCTTGTCTCTTGATCTTGCACTTGTTCTACACTGATATACATATTTATACTTGCATGTTACTCTTGCTAGGCTGTGATCAGTGTACTGCCTTGCTATTATACCTTTGCATGTGAACTCGCCTTGTGTTCGCTTGCTTGTGCTCAGAATGCGTGGTGATCTTGAGATCCACCCTGGGCTTTGCATTGCTTTGTTCTCTTGCCTGACTGGCCTTGTGACCATTTGTTGTGTTGGCTATCCCTCACTTTGTCTATGGGGGTGTGTCAAAACATATTTGTTGTTAGTTCTGCTAGGCTACAGTGAGGTGCTCAGTATAGAGTACAACCCCAGTTAAGGTTTCATACTTGTATCTCATTGTTTCTAGTCCAACATTATTCCTGCACAGTTATCTCTCAACACAAAGAATAAATGTTGATGTACATTAATGACAGTCAGGGCCCAAAATATCAGGGTAAAATGCCCTGATTACCCTGGGGGCCGGCCGCTTTTTCAGGATTACCCTGTCAAAATCAGGATTCAAAGAAAGTTACCCTTACGCAAAAAGAGTTTGTAAAAATTTACACTGATAGGACTTACGGTTACCCTGACGGTATCAGGGTTGTGTGTACACTACCCTGATACCGAAACCTTTTTAGCGCGCATCAGGCCACACTCCGCGTGCTGACATCCTGTACCACTCTCACACTGCCACCGGTGTCGCCTTATTGGTTGTTTTGCCCACTGGACTGCCAACGCACCCCCGCACGGTGTGACACCACGCCACTCCCACTGCCAGCTGAGCAGAGTTGCGCGTCAAGGACAGCTTCGTGCTGTCCTACGCATCAAATTACACACCAACAGGGCTAGCGATACCGAGTTTGTAGAAGTGGTTGGCAGTGGGGGTGGCACTGAGTAGTTGTTTTTTGTGTGCTAGGTTGTTTTTACTTATGAAACTAATTGAAGGACAAAACAACATTGAAAACAGGCTAAGTGTAAATATACCCTGCTCAAATCAGTGTACTGGTAGATTTACCCTGCTGCAAACAGGGTACAGAAAAATTTACCCTACAGGTCAGGGTAAGGAGGGGGCCCAAACCAATTTTGGGCCCTGATGACAGTCCGACACTCAATGCATCTGGGAACACGTACAATGGATATTTTGAATATTCCTGTGTTTATCAAAATCCCTGGCATGACCAGAGTATTAATGTATATGTACAATACGGATATTCCGACACTCAATGCAGCAGGGAACACGTGCTATCGTGCCAAAGTATGCCGTGATAGCCTTGAACTTCCCGTTCAAGAAATTCCGCTCCACCTGCAGCATGGAAACGAAGGTTGAGACAAGAATGCGAAGCACATGTTAGCACCCACCCGCATCTTTTTCTCCTAGTGAACAGTTATTAAGACTGTAGCAAGTTGTGGCAGGGACCTGACGGCGTGGCGGAGCGAGCGAGATGCTCCAGGTGGTGCATGGGAGTGTTGCGAGGCAGGTACATGGCCACGGAGGGAGCGATGCTCAGCGAAATCTGTAGCAGGAAAGAGATGGGGGATGGGAAGGAGCACAGGAGTCAACAATGGTATCGAGTCGAGGGTGATGTAGTGCATTGTAACTCTGATTGGATTTGTAATTCTGTTTTGATTTGTAATTCTGTTTTGATCTGTTAGTCTAACTTGATTTGTAATTCTAATTCGACTTGTGATTCTGATTTGATTTGTAATTCTCATTTGATTTGTAATTCTGATTTGAAGCAGTTTTGTGGACTTGCGAAACTGCATGCAAGTGGTGCGGTCCCCGGTACCAAAACTGAGGGAAGCAGGAAAGGCAATGGAAGCAAGGGTGCTGTGGAGCGCGGAGAGAGGGCTAGTCAGCAAGCGTGAGGCTGAATCTGTTTTTTTGTTTTTTTTTTTTTCGAACAACAGATTCAGCCTACTATCACCCTCCCCGTTTTTTAGAGGGCTAGTCAGCAAGCTCCATGGATCGAGAGGTTCCAAATTCCACTCAACACCATAATAGAATAAGAAGTTCCAAAAGGGACACTTGATCGTGGAGGGTATGTAAAGGGCACTCAAGGGCGGCACGTACGCGCTGGCTGGCTGCAGCATGATACAGATGTCGTACTCTGATTGGTCGAGATACTCCGGGCCACCCCATGGGGGGGACAGGAAGACCACATCAGCCTGCCCTGCAGCACATGACGGCACAGTGAAAGGGAAAGGCACATTTGGGGTGGGAGCATGACGGCATGGCGGCACGAAGACATGCTGCATGGGGGATGTGGGCATGGCGGCAAGAACCACATCAGCCAGCCAGCCCTTTAGGCAGACGAGCGAGCGAAATGCGAAACGGCGGAGGCAAGGGGACATACGGCAGCAGAGTCGTGATGCGATGGGGGGTGGAAATACGGCGGACGGCACATCACACGGGCGGATGTGGCATGGGTATGGGTGGCCACATGGATGTCAGGCATGGGTATGGGCAACCATAAGGGCATGGGCCGTATCCCCTTTTGGGTGGCCACACGGATGTCAGGCATGGATGCCTCATGCATGCAGTCATTGAACTTAAGGTGCGGTGCAACGCTGAGGAAATCGGCGCAAAGCTCATCCGCTCGGTGGTGCAAGTGGTGGCCGTGCTGTGAGGGGATACAGTGCAAACCATAAGACACCTCACAGATTCTCCCATGCCTCACCTTAAGCCGCGGCGCAACGCTGAGGAAGTCGGTACAAAGTGCATCCACTCGGTGGGGCAGGTGAAGACCGTAGACGCTGAGGTTGTGTTGGAGCATGGCGAGCCGGCATGCTCATGTCAACAGCCAGCACGTGGGGGCAGCTGGGAGAAAGAGAAGGTGGGGAAGGGGGAACGGGAAGGGAGACAGGGAGTGATGAGGAAGCAAATCATTCGGAAGTGAATGCTGTGGTTGCTGTGGCAAGGATGTATACAGGCAGGGGAGAAGGTACAAACGAAGAACCGTAGAAGCTATCTAGTGAAGCCACCACACAATGAAGCTACATTGAAGCAGCGAAAGTGAAATTGTAGCCAGTACATGAGCCACTGCAGCCACCACATGAGCCACTACACAGCTACCTGTTACAGAGCCTTACATACACACACAATCTGCAAGCTGCATTGCCTTGCTCGCCCACATCTCACAGAATTCATCCCCCACTGGGGTATCAACCCACCCTACAAGCCCCACATGCAGAACCCATCCCCCACCGCCCCTAATCCACTCCCATCTCGTCACCACAATTGAGTTAATGAACCTCTTTACAAGGGAGTGGATTACTGGGAAATTGGATCCACCAGCCGTTAGTAAAGACTCACAGCTTGGCCAGGTGGATGGTGTTGCCACCCACCCCACAGAAGGCATCCACCACCACGCCTGCCCCACCCACCAGGTCTTTTGCACCCCCCACGTCTGCTGCACCCCTCGTGCCTGCTACGCACTCACACCTCCCTTCGTCGAGGGAGCCACCTCTCAGTTCCTCTTCTCCTCCCTGTCTGCCCATCCCCTCACATTCGCTGTTTACCTCTCCCACCCGTCCATCCTCAACCTCCTCCTCCCCCGCTTTTACTCGGACCCCTCTCTGCTCTAGAACCTCTTCCTCTGAACTTAGAGGTGCAGTGTGGTCACCACACGTGGCAGGAGCATACGTGGCAGCACGATCTTCTGCACAATTGGCGCCTGCCGACGCGCCAGCACCACCGCCTCCTGCTGACGTGGCAGCATCACCCCCTGCACACGTGGCATCATCACAATCCATGACAGCAGCGCACATGGCAGCGTGGTGGGCGGCGATGGCCTCAGGAGTGACAAGGGGCCACGCGTCAGCATCCAATAGGACGCCCTCATCAAACCTCGAGAACAGACCGTACCGCTGCTGTCAGTACTTCTCATACCCTGCTGCCACAGCCTCCTCTTCTACACTCCGGTCTGCTACAGCCTCTGCTTCAGCTACAGCCGGCTCAAGCAAGACCTGCTCCACTTCTGCCTGTGTGGGAGCTCCCTCTGCAGATACAGCCTCCTCTGCTACAGCCTGGGCAGGCGTCCATCCCACCCAGCACGCAAGCCCACTCCCCTCGCCATGATCGGGCGGGTGCCACTGGGTGATGGCGGCAGCAGCATTGCAGAAGTACACACCGTGGGAGAGCGGCTCCCACACCGCCTGCCATGCTCCCTCCTCCGCCACTACAAATAAATCCCCCTCTGCCTGCCCTTCCAGTGTTTGCTCTCCATTTGCATGCCCTTCATCCGCCTGCCTTTCCTTCGCCTGCCATGCACCCTCCTCCACCACCACGAATGAAACCCCCTCTGCCTGCCCTTCCATCACCTGATATCCTGCTGTCTGCCCATCCAGTATCTGCTCTCCCCGAATCTGCTCGTCCTCTATCTCCTCTACTTCTGCAACGACAGCAACCCATGATGTTCCCCCCATGCCACACTCCACTGCCTCTGCACCACCCTCCACTGCCTCTGCATCGCTCCCCACCACTGCCATTCCTGCAGCACTCTCCACCGCTGCCCCTGTGAGAGCCCTTCTCACTGCATCTGCAGCAACCTGCCTTGCTGCATCCGCACCACCTTCCACTGCTATCGCTGTACCCACCCCTGCCACGCCCTCTGCACCACCCTTTGCCCCTGCCACGCCCTCTGCACCACCCTCTGCCCCTGCCACGCCCTCTGCTGCACCACCCTCTGCCCCTGCATCTGTAGCGCACTCTGCCGTTGCCTGTCCCTCTCCCCTCCTTCGCCCCCGCCTCTTCTTCTTCCCTCCATGATCCCCACCAGAACCACCAGCACCACCACCGCCACCGCCGCCACCACCACCGCTGCCACCACCGCCCTGCTGCTGCATCATGGGAACACACGAATACAAACATTTCAACATTTGTGCTTCAATAGGAATCATGAACAAGAGATGGGCTTTAAGCTGAGACGTAAAAAAAAAGAAAAAAACAATCAACATCCATGTGCAAACCCCCCACCCCTTTTAGCCTTCACCACGTGCAGTCCGTCCGGAAGTAATGGGGGCAACTGAAAGGCACGTGAGAACAAGTTCGTTTTGAGACGTCTCAAAACCAACTTGTTATCACGTAGGGGCAATGCAATGGATGGAAAGGGTTGCTGCTTCAAAAAGAGTACCGAGCAGAGTAGACTGAGTGAATCAAATATAAGGGAAGAGGACAAGGGGAGAGCAGCAAAAAGTGAGTGTGCATTCACATGAAGCTCACGCACAGCCACCGCTGCAGCAATCGTGCTGCCTGCATGGTCCCGACCCCTTACTGAACTGCACTGGCAAGCCAAGGGAACCCATGGCACCTGCCGTTCCACCTCTGCTTCCACCGGCTTTCCCCTTCCACCACTGCTCATTCCGCACTCACCCTAGCATCTTGTGCTGACTGCACAGCCCGTGCCCCTCCACTGAACTGCACTGGCAGGCCAAGAGCAGCCATGGCGCCTGCCAGCTCCTCATCCTCGCGCCCTTCACCTTCCACCTCCTCATCCACTCGCCCTTCACCTGCCACCCACCCGTTGCTTCCCAAACCCCCCTCCCCTCCATAACCCCCTTAAGCCCTCCTGTCCCTTTCGCCCTTTTCCATTGCCGTGCGCCCCTCGCCTCCCCTCCACGGCACCACCTGCACCCTGCTGCACTGTAGCTCGTTGCATGAAGGCCGGTGCCTGGCACGGTCGTCACTGGGAGAGCAGGGAGCAGGGAGGGGGAATAAGGCTTGCATTGTAGCTCGTTGCATGAGGGTTGCATGAGGGCCGGCGCCTGGCATGACCGTCACTGGGAAAGGAGAAAAGAGTGGAAAACGGGAATGGGGGAGCGGGGAGGAAAAATTAAGGAGGGTCCTGGGAGAGGGAGAGGGGAGTTAGAGGTATGGGGGGTGTGGGAAGGGTGATCTTTGCCTTGCCTCCACTGCCCCACCTGCACCTTGCTGCACTACACCCGACTGTCACTGCAAGAGAATGGGGGGGATTGGGAAGGGGGGTGGGGGAAGGCGGATGGGGGATGGGGGATGAGGGAAGGCGGATGGGGGATGGGGGAAGGCGGATGGGGGATGAGGGAAGGCGGATGGGGGATTGGGGAAGGCGGATGGGGGATGAGGGAAGGCGGATGGGGCAAGGCAGATGTGGGATGGGGGATGGAGGATGGGGGATGGGGGATAGAGGATAGGGGATGGAGGATGGAGGATGGAGGATGGGGGATGGTAGTTGGAGGGGGGTATCGAACGACAGGGAGGAACGGGAAAGGGCATAAAGGGACAAGAAGAGGCAGGGAGGGGCAGCGAGCGTAACACAACCGTTTTCGGCTGCCTAGTTGCAGGATTACTTCCAATGCTACTGTCCTTGAGGCGACTCAAAGTTGACTTTGGCTGCCTAGTTGTGCCGCGATCACACCGTGGCGTGTACCCATTGACGGTGGCGACACAGGGCGACTTGCTATACAAACGATCTCTACTAGCACTGCGAGACCAACGCTCCTTAGCACAACACTCACTACAGAAATACGTTGACGACGGCGAAGCTCCACCGCGATTCCCCAGCTTCTTGCGGGTTCAACGGGGCGAGAGGAGGGCTTTGCGGCTGCGGTGAGTGAGGCGCCACTGGGTCCAGCGGAAATGCACATGTTTGGCCCGCTGACACTTTGGTTTCCGTGGCTGTGCATGGCTCGACCATCCCCGAAAACGAACGGCTGATCGCAGAGAGAAGCGGCTGCGGGGGCTCCGATGAATTCGGAGCTTTATTTGCCGTCGTGATTCTCCTGACAACCCAGGTTCAACTGTGAAGACTCGGGGAAATACACAAGCAGCATTAGGTTATGATAGCAATCACAAATACATTGCAATTAAAGCGACCGTATACATTTGGCAGCAGGTTTTAGATGTCAACTTTTGGGGAATGGATTCCGCAAGTGTGAATTGAATCGACGAGAATTGGGTTGGCGGCATGTCGCATGTGACTTAAAAATTCCATTGGTACAGGATAGGTGGGTGTGGTCGTGATTCATGAAAGGCCCGTGACATCGCTGGTCACGAGGCCCCTGTTGGCGCCTTGTGAGAGGAATGGACGTTCAATTATGTGTTGCCCCCTCGCCGCCTTCGTTCACTCGTACCGCTTCCCATAGCACCGTGCGCCACACCTAAGCTCGCCGCGACAAGCCTTCCACTCCCACTACCACTCCTCTCCCTCGCACACACGTGTCACCCGCTCCCTCTGCTGTTTGGTGGGCCCGCCTAGTCACATTTGGCGAGCCCATTCACCGGTTCGGTGGGCCCACCTTGTCAGATTTGGCGGCCCATTCACCCGTTTGGTAATGGAGGGGGAGCTCTGGGCTGTCCCACCTCGTGCAGGGGGGGCAGGAAGGCTGAGGCAGCGGGGGAAGTGCGGGAATGGATGGGCATGATGGGAAGGAAGGTAATGGCAGGGGGGCTCTGGGCTATCTCACCTCGTGCAGGGAGGCAAGACTCCAAACGTGTGCGCCTCAAATACGCCGGGCCCCCCTCCTGCTCTCACCCGCACTCCTCGCGGCAAAGTGGCGCTGGATATAAGGCCACGAAACGGGGGGACGGGGAGGGACCAATAGGGAATAGGGAGGAAGAGGGGGCAAGGGGTGGGTAGAGGATGGATGAGGAAGCAATGGGATTGAAAGGGAGGATTGGGAGGGGAGGGTAGGGTACGGGTGGTAAGGGGAGGGGAAGGCCGCGGAGGAAGGGAGGCAGGAGGGGGGAAATTAGGATGCAAGGAGGGGATATGGGGGAGGCTTGAAGTGAAAATGGGGAGGCGGGAAGGGGAAATGGGGAGGCGGGAAGGGGAAATGGGGAGGCAGGAAGGGAAAATGGGGAGGCGGGAAGGGGAAACGGGGAGGCACGAAGGGGAAATGGGGAGGCGGGAAGGGGAAATGGGGAGGCAGGAAGGGGAAATGGGGAGGCAGGAAGGGGAAATGGGGAGGCAAGAAGGGGAAATGGGGAGGCAGGAAGGGAAAATGGGGAGGCGGGAAGGGAACACGGGGAGGCGGGAAGGGGAAACGGGGAGGCAGGAAGGGGAAATGGGGAGGCAGGAAGGGGAAATGGGGAGGCGGGAAGGGGAAATGGGGAGGCGGGAAGGGGAAATGGGGAGGCAGGAAGGGGAAATGGGGAGGCAGGAAGGGGAAATGGGGAGGCAGGAAGGGGAAATGGGGAGGCAGGAAGGGGAAATGGGGAGGCAAAAAGGGGAAATGGGGAGGCAGGAAGGGGAAATGGGGAGGCAGGAAGGGGAAATGGGGAGGCAGGAAGGGGAAATGGGGAGGCGGGAAGGGGAAATGGGGAGGCGGGAAGGGGAAATGGGGAGGCGGGAAGGGGAAATGGGGAGGCAGGAAGGGGAAATGGGGAGGCAGGAAGGGGAAACGGGGAGGAGGGAAGGGGAAATGGGGAGGCAGGAAGGGAAAATGGGGAGGCAGGAAGGGGAAATGGGGAGGCGGAAAGGGGAAATGGGGAGGCGGGAAGGGGAAATGAGGAGGCGGGAAGGGGAAAGGGGACGCGGCTGTCGCGATCTCACATTCGGCTGTGGCGGCTAGTGCGGATAGGTCGTAGCGAGGTTTCGAGAGCGGGCTGCGAATTTGAACGTGCGAGAGCACGCTAAACTGCAGCGGTGTGAGGCGCGGTGCGCGTGTTCACGGTGGCGTGAGGAGGCAGCGTGGGGAGGCGCAGCGAGGCCATGAGTGGGGGCTTGACAGCGGGGGCGATTTGCGGCGAAGCAAAGGAAGGCGATGCGAGACAGCGGGGGGAGGCCATCGGAAAAATCCGGGGAATGTTTTGTGCTGGGTTGGGGTATTTTGGGTTGAACATGGTCCTTTTCCAACTGATTGCCGTGCAGGGCGTAGATAGGTGATGGTTTGTTACGAAATAGGGTGTGGATCGGATGTGCTGTGGACTATCGAAGATGTTCTGTTTCCACGCGTCACTGTAGTGACTGGTTCAGGTTGTTCGTTGGCAGTTGCAGCTGTGCTGATATTTGCAGGCCACCCTAGTTACGTGTGGAAACCCGCGTCGACGAGCTGCGTACACGTGTAATTCGCTGATGCTGTAGATATCGAGTTCAAGCAATTTCTTGAACATAAGTGGCTCTCGATTACAATCGGCCGTTCTCTTGGCGAACGGGTTACCCATGCTAACGAGGAAACTGCGAGTGCGTCAAATGAAAGTACTGTTCTGTTTGGTACAATATCATTTGTTTATTATGAGCCATAACCCACTAATTAAATTATTTAGCTCGAATACACTAGAATGCTCCAAATATTATTTCCAGATATATAAACGTTCATTAATAAGCTGGGATATCACTGCGATAGACTCTCAACAAGCGCAATAATCTAATTGAATGCTCTATTCTCAATTCACATTTCATTTTAAAAAACTAGCATATTCAACAGAGTTTTTGTTTGGCATTCTCAGACAAAGCGAAGTCGTTCATCTAATAAAACGCGTCATGGATTACTCATAATTATTGGAAACATCTCTGAGTGAAATAAGGAAGCAAGAAAATATACTAACACCAGTGTTGAAGCGAGGTGGCAGGATACAAAAGAAGACAGGACAGAAGAGAGATGGGACAGCAATCAGGTTGGGGAAGACAAGATGAAGGGTTAATAGCAAAAGAAGTGGGCGTTCCTTGGCGACAGACGAGACGAGGCAACATGCTAGACGAATGATATCACATGAAAGAGGAGAAGGAGATAGACGGGGATTGTGATAGATTTATCACAAAAACGAAGAAAGGATGTCAATACAGGGACAACGGAAGTGAACAATCGAAACGGGGAAGAGAAGGGAAAAGGGGAAGAATTGATGGAGAGAAAAGGGGGCATGCCAAACTGAAAAAAAAATGTTGGGAGGTAACAGGAGATGTGAGAAGAACAACAACAGCGTATCTTTTTACATTCTTGCCAAGTTGGTGAGCATGCCAATGTCAGTCGGGATGGAGCCGTTGAGCTGGTTTGTGGCGAGCGACCTGTCCCAATCAGGGTGTTCAAGCAAGGCATGAGCAAAACCCGTGTGCCTTAAGACTTGAAGGATTGAAGAGCACGGTTTTGAAACTCTCCACCCCCATCTGAGTGGTGGTGCGGAAGTGGTTTTGGTTCGACCATTGCTCATGCCTAGGAATGTGGGCAAAGTACCTACAATACAATACATCCTTACAGTGTTACCAGCTTTGTCAGCAAGCCAATGCAAGCGGGGATGGAGCTGGTGAGCTGGTTGCTCGTGAGAACTCTGTCCGAGATAGGGAGTCAAGGGACACGTGGGGGGGCATGCATGTATGGGTGCGTGTGTGCGTGCGTGCGCATGCGTACGTGCGTGCGTGCATGCGTGCATGCATAATGTCACCCCCTTATGCTGTTAGCTCACGCCTAATTTAGACAACAACAAAAACGCTAAAACGTTATTTTGTATAGCAAGCATGAGCAAACGCCAAAACGAGTTATACTCGACTCGTTTTCAGCCGACTCGTTTTGGAAACGAGTCGAGAGAGTATTGCTCGCCTGAGTAGTTTTATGCCTAACCCGACTCGTTACTCGTGAAAACAAATACGAGTATTTCATTACTCGGACCCAGTAATGAAGCACTCGTTCTGGAGAAAGTAATACTCAACTCGTTTTGCGCTAAACAGGTGACGACACCGAGTAATTAATTACTCGTTTACTCGGGAATACTCGACTCGACTCGTGGGAGATTTTTTTTGGAAAAGGTTGACTCGTTAATCGCCCAAAACGAGGAACAAAAACGAGTCGAGTAAATTACTTGAATCGTTGTTCATGCCTGTCTGTCGTATAGTGTGTATACGCATAAAAGGAAAAACAAAATCATACACTGCTTTCTGGTGAAGATTTGCCGAAATACGCATGGGCTGACCAAAACAGAATCTTGAAAAAAACGTTAAGCTGATTTTGCAACGAGGCGAACTCAAATTTGAATATTGAAAATAAGATCTGAGTTCGCACAGTGGAATTGCAATCTGAGGTCTGAATTTTGAAATGATTGTGCATCATCTTCTCCAGAGCTCAACAATCCATTTCAAATGCATCCATTCCCCAATGCCTTCCACTCTGTTGTCGAATGGACGAGCCTTTAACCAGACTCGGCTTCCCCAGCAGGAAGTAAAGACATTTCTACGATCGATTCTCCTCGTTCGCTTTCTTCCCTTCCTGGCTCACCTGTCATGGTTACCTCCACTACTACAACACCACTCATCATTATCTCTTGGCCCGACGTCTAAGCTTGCCCGAAGATTTCTTAACCTGCCTGGGTCTGTATTTTGCGCGTACCCTCCCGCCCCCCCCCCCCCCCCCCCCCCTCCCCCTCCCCCCTCTCCACGTATTGCGTACATACACTTTCGTATAAAACGCGAAACGAGTTCTCTCCAACTTAAGCTCACTCTTAACATGAAAGAAGCTCTTATGTGACTAAGGATAAAATATCACGAATCTTTATTCCACATTGATACCCTTCGTAGGTGTATGAGGTCCTTTGGAAACTTGAAACCAAATTACAGGAAAGTAAGAGCAGTGAGCTTTGATATCGAGGAGGGCACAGATCCTGACAGCAAGTTGTAGTTGAGAGAGCTGTTGGTGGTGTGGGGGTTGGACACCCGGGAATAAAAGATTGGAATTCATTCATGTGTACACAGGACAAGGTAGAAAAGAGAATGAAGGGTGTCACGGAAATGAAAATTTGGAGGTAACGGAGGTGACAGTTTCGAGAGAGAGACGAGATAGTAGGGTAAAGAACACATATTAGCATAGGTCTGAGCTGACGGATCAGCTTCTTGGATCGGCTTGTCAGCAGGGCGAGCTGAGCCAACAATCCTGCCCTGCCGGCTCAGCTGTTAGGTCGTCAAGACCTGCCTAGACCTGACGACCCGGGCTTGTCAAGACTTGGCAGTCAGCACGATGACAAGGCACCGGATCATCGCCGAGCCTTGACTGGCTTGTCCATAAGACGATCAACTTTTACCCCGTCCATACGGATCTGACTTGTAGATGTGATGCCAGCATGCACTTGTGAGACGGCTTGTGGAGAAGGCGAAGCCGGGCCGTACCGGCTCCACCAGCTTCCCACGGCGGACAAGGCACCAACCGAGTCAGTTGCCAGCCCGACTTGCCGAGGGGACTCTCCAGCTTGGCTTGTCAGCCCTTGTCACAGCTAAAAACGAGCCGGCTCGGTCCATACTTATGCTCATGTAGCATAGAAGAGCCTTACAGGGATGCCAGAGATAGCAGAGAGCCAATTTCCACTGGGATTGAACCCGTGAACTGATTATTCCTGAGGGACCTGCCATAGCATTCGAATGCACCAGACCAGCAGGTGGGGTTTTACCATGGGCAAGCACAAGGGCAGTGAGCACCTGTGTCAATCAAACGCCGGAGGGATTTCCCATCAAGACGAGCCTCTAGAATCATGCCCGCCCCCCGGTCGGATGCTCCCCCAGACACTTGTCCGGTCAGCCATATTGTTTTTCACACAGGCTTGAAAAGAACAGGAAAGAGGGGGGGGGGTAGATACCATGTTAGCATAGATCTAGAGACTTTGATTTGTAGACAAAATTTTGCCAGCTCTTCCCTGCTAGTCAGCGGCTGCAGTTGAGTTAAGCCATCAGCTCAACAACAGACTTATTGCACGCCGAACTTTTTCCCAACCCTTTACTCCTATTATGTGTATCCAATCCCAACCCGTCCACTCAAAGAACTCTACTCACAAGAGAGGGAGCTCACGTTTACTGCCCATGCAATCTTCTGTCTCTTTACCAAAATCAGAAGACCCAGTAACACGTTTTACCTGTCCTCCATTTTTCACTTATGTGGCTTATCTGCCGGCCGCGAACACTGTGTTTTTGTAGCATCTGCACCAAGTGTATAGTGCACTTAAGCAACAAAATATCTAACTTCTTTCTCTCCTGGGGTTCAACACTGACCATCACTCCTTCCCATCGGGAGATGTCGGCAGTGGTGGGAAATAAGCAACACAAGCAGGCTAAAAGGGGAGCGAGCAAGGAGGATAGCAGCCACGGCACGTAAGGCGGAGTTGAGGGCAGTGCAAGAAATGAAAGCAACAAGCACATGTGAAGGACGAAAGAGCAGCGGAGAAGCAACGAGTGACGCAGGTAGAGCAGCACCAGCAAGAAACCTCACAGCGTGGTCATGCTGGTGAGTGAGCCAATGTCAGCCGGGATAGCGCCGGTGAGCGTATTGTTGAAGAGCCACCTGCTCGGCCAGAGAAAGAGGGACTGTGTGCCTTCAAGCATGCAGACATGCCTGAGTGTGTGAGGAAGCACAGGGAGAGGGGGCAGAGCCTTGAGCAGTGTGCATCACACTCACAGCTGTTTCAGCAGGCTGAGCGCAGTCACGGTGGCAGGGATGCTGCCTGACAGCTGGTTGCTTGCGAGATCGCTGTGAGGACATGATGACAGCAGCAAGGAGGTCGTGCTGAGTGGTTAAACAAACCACAAAGGAGAAGAGTAGTATCTTAAACCACGCGGCCTGCCCACCTTTGAGACCAGACCGGCCCGTATCGCCCGCCCAACGCCGAGCCTTAGTCATAGGCCTGAGCTCGGGTCCGAGCCAAGCCAGCTTGACTCCAGCTGGAGTCGGCTTGTCGTTGTCTCGAGTCGAGCTGAGCCGAGTCGGCGCAACACGAGCCGAACTGACTATTGCCCGGCCTGAAAATGGGCCGGGAGCTTGCTTGGCCGGCAACAAGCCACCCAGCCACAAGCTGGCCGGCCACGAGCCTCTAGCGGCTTGCCCACGAACTGGTCTTGAGTACTAAACCAACAAGTGGTAGTACTGGAAGCGAAACAATGGTGGATACTCAAGAAACTGAGCTAATCAAGGTTTCGGAAGGACATGGTGTTGTGAAGTATGGTCCTAGCGAGGGGGGAGGAGCAATAAGTAATGATAGGAAACAAACTGAAAAGAACCAGACCTGACTAAGATTCCTACTTCTCGTCTCGTCAACTAGCACGACGCTACATGCCAGGAAAACACTCAGGGCGGGCTCGCTGCGAGATTCAACGCAAAATCAGAGGCTAGGCTCAATTGTTGCTTCTACCAACCGAGCCTCGGCTCGGTTCGTTGGCAGACCACATTATTAGACAACTGGCCATAAATCCTAGCTAGGCCCAAATGACACATTCCAAAAAAAGGACCATTCTTGAGAGTGGGACACACGTAATGGAGGAGGTCAGAGGGCTAGGAATATAGAGAGGGTGGGAGAGAAACAAAATATGTTTTAAGGGTTTAAAGGAAGGCCAGAAGTGGGAACCAGGGAAAAGATAGGGAGAAATGCGGGAGGAGGGAGGGGTGGGCTGGAAAAGAGGTGGTGAAAAGAAAGTGAGGCGTAGCTCAGCTGTGGGATCAAGGGTACCAAGGAGTACGGGCAACACGGCGCTGAGGGCGTACATATAGATGAGCTTCCGGAGGCTGCTGAGGGAGTTTGGAATCTGCCCTCCCAGCTTGTAGTTCCGGAGTTGCCTGACGGTGTGTGAATGATGGTGTGACAATGATGGTATCATAATGATGGTGTGACAAGAAGTACATGATGGCCTGGCCTCTCGCACTCAACCTGTGAATCCCATGCTCTCACTCCCAGCCTACCACACCCATACTCCCACTCCCATACTCTCACTCACATACTCTCACTCCCATACTCTCATCACTCCCATACTCTCACTCCCACCTCTCACTCCCATCCTCTCACTCCCATCCTCTCACTCCATCCTCTCACTCCCACCTCTGACTACCATACTCTCACTCCCATCGGCTCACTCCAATCGCCTCCCTCCCATCGCCTCCCTCCCATCGCCTCCCTCCCATCGCCTCCTTCCCATCGCCTCCCTCCCATCGCCTCCCTCCCATCGCCTCCCTCCCATCGCCTCCCTCCCACCGCCTCCCTCCCACTGCCTCCCTCCCACCGCCTCCCTCCCACCGCCTCCCTCCCACCGCCTCCCTCCCACTGCCTCCCTCCCACCGCCTCCCTCCCACTGCCTCCCTCCCGCCGCCTCCCTCCCACTGCCTCCCTCCCACCGCCTTCCTCCCATCGCCTCCCTCCTCTGCCTCCCTCCCACCGCCTCCCTCCCACCGCCTCCCTCTCACTGCCTCCCTCCCACCGCCTCCCTCTCACCGCCTCCCTCCCACTGCCTCCCTCCCACCGCCTCCCTTTCACCGCCTCCCTCCCACTGCCTCCCTCCCACCGCCTCCCTCTCACCGCCTCCCTCCCACTGCCTCCCTCCCACCGCCTCCCTCCCACTGCCTCCCTCCCACCGCCTCCCTCCCACCGCCTCCCTCCCACCGCCTCCCTCCCACCGCCTCCCTCCCACCGCCTCCCTCCCATCGCCTCCCTCCCACCGCCTCCCTCCCACCGCCTCCCTCCCACCGCCTCCCTCACATCGCCTCCCTCCCATGGCCTCACATGGCAGTGATCATGCCGGAGGGGTCGCACGTGAGGCCCGTGGCACTGCTGCAGTCGGGACTCGCACCACTCCACCTGGAGATGCTCTGCCCCCATGCCGCCTGGCACTCCTGCAGGAATTGCACTGCAACGAGTGGCAGTGGGAGGGGGGCAGAGGGGGGCGAAGAGGGGGGGTGAGGTGAGATGGGTAGGCCCTCCTGGGGGGGTGGTGGGGGTGGGGGGGTGGGGGGGTTCGGGGGGGGGGGGGGGGGGGGGGGGGGGGGGGGGGGGGGGGGTGGGGGAACTCTCCAGCTGCGAAGGTTTGAGCGTGAGAGTCACAGGGGAGCGCGAGCCACTCTGCCTGGCGGACAAACCTGACACCACCGTGTGGTGGGATGAGAGGTCACCCACAGCATTTATATGGTACATCGCACACAAAAAACACAATTTCTCACATCTTGGGCCGCCTCCTCGTGTTCTAGCGCGTACATCGCCCTCGCTCTGTCCGCCCTCTCTCTCTGCCCATCGTACTCGCCCTCTCTCTCTGTCACTCGCCCCTGCTCTATCACTCGCCCCTGCTCTGTCACTCGCCCCTGCTCTGTCACTTGCCCTTGCAATCTGTCCTTCGTCCTTGCTCTTTGACTTTCGCTACTTTTTATCCTTCGCCCTTCTTCTCTGCCCCTCGCCTCTCTTTGTCCTTCGCCCTTCCTCTCTGCCCCTCGCCTCTCTCTGTCCTTCGCCCATGCTCTGTCCGCTCTTTTCTCTCTGTCCGCCCTTTGCTCTAGGATCGATCGATCTTGCTCTGACCTTCGCCTCGCTGTCTGCCCATCGCCATTTCGCTCTCTGTCCATCGCCCTTTCGCTCTCTGTCCTTCGCCCTTTCTCTCTCTGTCCGTCGCCCTTTCGCTCTCTGTCCATCGCCCATTCGCTCTCTGTCCATCGCCCTTTTGCTCTCTGTCCATCGCCCTTTCGCTCTCTGTCCATCGCCCTTTCGCTCTCTGTCCATCGCTCTTTCGCTCTCTGTCCATCGCCCTTTCGCTCTCTGTCCATCGCCCTTTCGCTCTCTGTCCTTCGCCGTTTCTCTCTCTGTCCGTTGCCCTTTCGCTCTCTGTCCATCGCCCTTTCACTCTCTGTCCATCGCCCTTTCGCTCTCTGTCTATCGCCCTTTCGCTCTCTGTCCATCCCCTTTCGCTCTCTGTCCTTCGCCCTTTCTCTCTCTGTCCGTCGCCCTTTCGCTCTCTATCCATCGCCCTTTCGCTCTCTGTCCATCGCTCTTTCGCTCTCTGTCCATCGCCCTTTTGCTCTCTGTCCATCGCCCATTCTCTCTCTGTCCATCGCCCTTTCGCTCTCTGTCCATCGCCCTTTCGCTCTCTGTCCTTCGCCCTTTTGCTCTCTGTCCATCGCACTTTCGCTCTCTGCCCGTCGCCCTTTCGCTCTCTGTCCTTCGCCCTTTCGCTCTCTGTCCTTTCGCTCTCTGTCCATCGCCCTTTCGCTCTCTGTCCATCGCCCTTTTGCTCTCTGTCCATCGCCCTTTCGCTCTCTGTCCTTCGCCCTTCCGCTTTCTTGCCATCTCCCTTTCGCTCTCTGTCCATCGCCCTTTCGCTCTCTGTCCTTCGCCCTTTCGCTTTCTGGCCATCTCCCTTTCGCTTAATGTCCATCACCCTTTCGCCCTCTGTCCATCGCCCTTTCGCTCTCTGACTGACGCCCTTTCGCTCTCTGTCCATCGCCCTGTCGCTTTCTGGCCATCTCCCTTTCCCTCTCTGTCCATCGCCCTTTCGCTCTCTGTCCTTCGCCCGTTCGCTTTCTGGCCATCTCCCTTTCGCTCTCTGTCCATCGCCCTTTTGCTCTCTGTCCATCGCCCTTTCGCTCTCTGTCCTTCGCCCTTTCGCTTTCTGGCCATCTCCCTTTCGCTCTCTGGCCATCGCCCTTTCGCTTTCTGGCCATCTCCCTTTCGCGCTCTGTCCATCGCCCTTTCGCTCTCTGTCCATCGCCCTTTCGCTCTCTGTCCTTCGCCCTTTCGCTTTCTGGCCATCGCCCTTTCGCTCTCTGGCCATCGCCCTTTCGCTCTCTGTCCTTCGCCCTTTCGCTTTCTGGCCTTCTCCCTTTCGCTCTCTGTCCTTCGCCCTTTCGCTTTCTGGCCATCTCCCTTTCGCTCTCTGTCCATCGCCCTTTCGCTCTCTGTCCATCGCCCTTTCGCTCTCTGTCCTTCGCCATTTCGCTTTCTGGCCATCTCCCTTACGCTCTCTGTCCTTCGCCCTTTCACTTTCTGGCCATCTCCCTTTCGCTCTCTGTCCATCGCCCTTTCGCTCTCAGTCCATCGCCCTTTTGCTCTCTGTCCTTTGCCCTTTCGCTTTCTGTCCATCACCCTTTCGCCCTCTGTCCATCGCCCTTTCGCTCTCTGACTGACGCCCTTTCGCTCTCTGTCCATCGCCCTTTCGCTCTCTGTCCTTCCCCCTTTCGCTTTCTGGCCATCTCCCTTTCGCTCTCTGTCCATCGCCCTTTCGCTCTCTGTCCTTCGCCCTTTCGCTTTCTGGCCATCTCCCTTTCGCTTTCTGTCCATCGCCCTTTCGCCCTCTGTCTGTCCATCGCCCTTTCGCTCTCTGACTGACGCCCTTTCGCTCTCTGTCCATCGCCCTTTCGCTTTCTGTCCATCGCCCTTTCGTTTTCTGTCCATCGCCCTTTCGCCCTCTGTCCATCGCCCTTTCGCTCTCTGTCTGACGCCCTTTCGCTCTCTGTCCATCGCCCTTTCGCTCTCTGTCCTTCGCCGTTTCTCTCTCTGTCCGTTGCCCTTTCGCTCTCTGTCCATCGCCCTTTCACTCTCTGTCCATCGCCCTTTCGCTCTCTGTCTATCGCCCTTTCGCTCTCTGTCCATCCCCTTTCGCTCTCTGTCCTTCGCCCTTTCTCTCTCTGTCCGTCGCCCTTTCGCTCTCTATCCATCGCCCTTTCGCTCTCTGTCCATCGCTCTTTCGCTCTCTGTCCATCGCCCTTTTGCTCTCTGTCCATCGCCCATTCTCTCTCTGTCCATCGCCCTTTCGCTCTCTGTCCATCGCCCTTTCGCTCTCTGTCCTTCGCCCTTTTGCTCTCTGTCCATCGCACTTTCGCTCTCTGCCCGTCGCCCTTTCGCTCTCTGTCCTTCGCCCTTTCGCTCTCTGTCCTTTCGCTCTCTGTCCATCGCCCTTTCGCTCTCTGTCCATCGCCCTTTTGCTCTCTGTCCATCGCCCTTTCGCTCTCTGTCCTTCGCCCTTCCGCTTTCTTGCCATCTCCCTTTCGCTCTCTGTCCATCGCCCTTTCGCTCTCTGTCCTTCGCCCTTTCGCTTTCTGGCCATCTCCCTTTCGCTTAATGTCCATCACCCTTTCGCCCTCTGTCCATCGCCCTTTCGCTCTCTGACTGACGCCCTTTCGCTCTCTGTCCATCGCCCTTTCGCTTTCTGGCCATCTCCCTTTCCCTCTCTGTCCATCGCCCTTTCGCTCTCTGTCCTTCGCCCGTTCGCTTTCTGGCCATCTCCCTTTCGCTCTCTGTCCATCGCCCTTTTGCTCTCTGTCCATCGCCCTTTCGCTCTCTGTCCTTCGCCCTTTCGCTTTCTGGCCATCTCCCTTTCGCTCTCTGGCCATCGCCCTTTCGCTTTCTGGCCATCTCCCTTTCGCGCTCTGTCCATCGCCCTTTCACTCTCTGTCCATCGCCCTTTCGCTCTCTGTCCTTCGCCCTTTCGCTTTCTGGCCATCGCCCTTTCGCTCTCTGGCCATCGCCCTTTCGCTCTCTGTCCTTCGCCCTTTCGCTTTCTGGCCTTCTCCCTTTCGCTCTCTGTCCTTCGCCCTTTCGCTTTCTGGCCATCTCCCTTTCGCTCTCTGTCCATCGCCCTTTCGCTCTCTGTCCATCGCCCTTTCGCTCTCTGTCCTTCGCCATTTCGCTTTCTGGCCATCTCCCTTACGCTCTCTGTCCTTCGCCCTTTCACTTTCTGGCCATCTCCCTTTCGCTCTCTGTCCATCGCCCTTTCGCTCTCAGTCCATCGCCCTTTTGCTCTCTGTCCTTTGCCCTTTCGCTTTCTGTCCATCACCCTTTCGCCCTCTGTCCATCGCCCTTTCGCTCTCTGACTGACGCCCTTTCGCTCTCTGTCCATCGCCCTTTCGCTCTCTGTCCTTCCCCCTTTCGCTTTCTGGCCATCTCCCTTTCGCTCTCTGTCCATCGCCCTTTCGCTCTCTGTCCTTCGCCCTTTCGCTTTCTGGCCATCTCCCTTTCGCTTTCTGTCCATCGCCCTTTCGCCCTCTGTCTGTCCATCGCCCTTTCGCTCTCTGACTGACGCCCTTTCGCTCTCTGTCCATCGCCCTTTCGCTTTCTGTCCATCGCCCTTTCGTTTTCTGTCCATCGCCCTTTCGCCCTCTGTCCATCGCCCTTTCGCTCTCTGTCTGACGCCCTTTCGCTCTCTGTCCATCGCCCTTTCGCTTTCTGTCCATCGCCCTTTCGTTTTCTGTCCATCGCCCTTTCGCTCTCTGTCCATCGCCCTTTCGCTCTCTGTCCATCGCCCTTTCGCTCTCTGTCCTTCGCCCTTTCGCTTTCTGGCCATCTCCCTTTCGCTCTCTGTCCATCGCCCTTTCGCTGTATGTCCTTCGCCCTTTCGCTCCTGTCCTTCGCCCTTTCGCTCTCTGTCCATCGCCCTTTCGCTCTCTGTCCTTCGCCCTTTCGCTTTCTGTCCATCACCCTTTCGCCCTCTGTCCATCGTCCTTTCGCTCTCTGACTGACGCCCTTTCGCTCTCTGTCCATCGCCCTTTCGCTTTCTGTCTATCGCCCTTTCATTTTCTGTCCATCGCCCTTTCGCACTCTGTCAATCGCCCTTTCGCTCTCTGTCTGACGCCCTTCGCTCTCTGTCCATCGCCCTTTCGCTCTATATCCTTCGCCCTTTCGCTTTCTGGCCATCTCCCTTTCGCTCTCTGTCCATCGCCCTTTCGCTCTCTGTCCATCGCACTTTCGCTCTCTGTCCATCGCCCTTTCGCCCTCTGTCCTTTGCCCTTTCGCTCTCTGTCCTTCGCCCTTTCACTCTCTGTCCCTTGTACTTGCCCTCTCTCTCTGTCACTCGCCCCTGCTCTGTCACTCGCCCTTGCCCTCTGTCCTTCGTCCTTGCTCTCTGTCCTTCTCCCTTGCTCTCTGTCCTTCGCCCTTTCGCTCTCTGTCCTTCGCCCTTTCGTTTTCTATCCATCTCCCTTTCGCTCTCTGTCCATCGCCCTTTCGCTCTCTCTCCTTCGCCCTTTCGCTCCTGTCCTTCGCCCTTTCGCTCTCTGGCCATCGCCCTTTCGCTCTCTGTCCATCGCCCTTTCGCTCTCTGTCCATCGCCCTTTCGCCCTCTGTCCTTTGCCCTTTCGCTCTCCGTCCTTCGCCCTTTCGCTCTCTGTCCATCGCCCTTTCGCTTTCTGTCCATCGCCCTTTCGCTCTCTGTCCTTCGCTTTGTCGCTTTCTGTCCATCGCCCTTTCGCTTTCTGTCCATCGCCCTATTCTCTCTCTGTCCTTCGCCCTTTCGCTCTCTGTCCATCGCCCTTTCGCTCTCTGACCATCGCCCTTTCGCTCTCTGCCCATCGCCCTTTCGCTCTCTGTCCTTCGTCCTTTCGCTCTCTGTCCATCGCCCCATCCCAAATTTGTTCCCCCCCGTACTATGTACCTATAGGTTCTGCCACAAGCAATTTACTCTATATAGCTCCGTATCTACAATATAGCAGAACCTATAAGTACATAGTATGGGGGGAAAACAATTTTGTGATGCCATTCGCTCTCTGCCCATCGCCCTTTCGCTCTCTGTCCTTCGCCCTTTCGCTCTCTGTCCATCGCCCTTTCGCTCTCTGTCCATGCCCTTTCGCTTTCTGCCCATCGCCCTTTCGCTCTCTGGCCATCGCCCTTTCGCTTTCTGTCCACCGCCCTTTCGCCCTCTGGCCATCGCCCTTTTGCTCTCTGTCTGACGCCCTTTCACTCTCTGTCCATCGCCCTTTCTCTCTCTGTCCATCGCCCTTTCGCTCTCTGACCTTCGCCCTTTCGCTCTCTGTCCATCGCCCTTTCGCTCTCTGTCCATCGCCCTTTCGCTCTCTGTCCTTCACCCTTTGGTCTCTGGCCCGCCATGCCAGGCGGTCACCGCTGCCGCATGGGCGGCGCGTGTGGCGGGACATATGCAACGAGCGCAGATCATAAGTCGCATATGCCATTTCGGTGACAAGCCAGGAATGTTTAATGTTGGGTCGGTCGTAACGACTCGTTCGCAATTCTCGATCAAAATGGGCAATCTCCTTCGCGCGACACTTGCCTTGAGTGGCTTCGAGCGGCACGGCTTTCACCATGATGATCATCGCGACGGGCGCGACAAGGATGGCGAGCCACCACGCCAGTGCCCACGCGCGCTGCACGCGCCCTCGATCACGTGCCATCGCCGACGTTGAGCCCGCATCCAGGCCAATCATCGCAAAAACCCCTACTCAATTTGGCCCTCGCCTCCTCGCCGAGGCCTCGGCGGGGTCACCCGCCGCAACTGACACTCGGATCTAATAGTTCGTCTACCCACCGACTCTGACGCACGAAAAGCGCTAACCGGTAATGCCGTGCGGCTACTATCTTTCTGAAAAGGTGATCGTCGTCACACCAAGAATAGTCGTTGTGGCTTTCGTTCGGTAGGGTACGCCAGTGCGAGTTGGCCCACTCAGGGTGGGTGGAGTTGGTGCCTGTCCAAGTTGATGCAGTGCTCCTGTGCCCACGTTCAGGACGCGTCCCCTCCCTATATATATATATATATATATATTTTTTTTTTTTTTAAGAATGCGTATGCACTTTAATAGATGCAAATACATTCAGAGTCGTAACTGGATTCTGGAGGGAAATGGCATACCCCAGCCGAGACTCGGGCACCTCCCCCCAACACGTGTCCAAGGTGGCTGCCGAATGGTCTTGGGGTTCTGCCAGATAGACAGAAAATCTACTCTCCACGTGGCTTGCTCCCCTGCCTCGCTTATCCTTGCAACCGCCGCCCTCTCATCTCCTGCCAGGCCACCCCACGGGTCCCGTGGCTGCCCTTGGACCTTGCAACCTGTTGCCTTCCTCACCTTTTCTGCTCTGTACAGCCTCGCGTGCCGCATGAAGTCATATATTGCCGCCCTTGCAACCTTTTTCCGTTGAAACTTCTCCTTCCGAAACACCGCATCCACCCTGGCCAACCAGATTCTCCGCATCGTCACCGCTGTCAATGTAGCCCCCGGAAAACCGGACTTCGTGGCCCCTTCTTTGAACAGCATGTCGCCTAGCGACCTCGTTTGGTCCGCCGGGTTCATCATCCTCAGTGAGCTTAGCAGCGCGCCAATCACCGGCTGAATGACGGGGCAGGTGCGCATGCAGTGATCTAGGGTTTCTGGAGCCCCGCAGTGCGGACAACATCCT